TAGTTTTCCACCTCTGTCTCTGTCTTCCTTCTTATCTTTTCTTTCCAAAAATGCTCTAGCTAGTTTCACTAACTTATAGACGAGGGTGCCAATGGGGGGTACCCAATTGTCATTTAATTACTAATGTTTCGGCCGCAGGTCAGTTAACTGTAATAATTTAACAAGCGCTGGCCATAATATTTATTTAAGGTTATTTGTCTGCATTTAACTACTATTTTTTTGGCCAATAGTCAGTTTACTACTAACCCCATTGGCACCCTCATGGACTCAGTCATGACAAGATAAAAACGATTCATATCAAAAAAGGAAAACCAATAAAATATTTATTGTTAAAGCTACCTTAAAGTTAAATTAAATAGCGTGCGTGGGCATACGGTAAGACTCGGTGTCAAAACCCAAAAGCATCCCAACTAAACGATTCATCTCATCAATCCTAGTAATGATTAAGATGTCAAAATCTAATAATCATAAGAATTGTTTAAAACAAATATTCCGTTTTAGCGAAAAGAATTCATAAGTAAATAAACGCATTATTTTTTTGAAAAAAACTATTTTTAATTGATCAAAATCTGTAAAAATATTAATAACAATTAAAAGAACATGCGTTTTTGGAGCGAAAGTACTTAATACTGATAGGTAAACGAAAAGAAGTTTCGTACTAAATTTTTTAACCAAAAAATGAGGAATACGTTTCGAATGAGCTGCCTGAAATTCGTGTGAATTATCGCTATATTAAGTGATAATGACAATGTCAACAGTAATGTCGAAATGACAAAGTGTTAATTGTTTCTACTTAACAACTTTTACTTTGCACTTTAACTGAATACTTCGAAGGATCGTTTGGAGTCCACGCATGAATCTTGGAGGAAGAACTTGGGAATCTAAATTTCGTGTAAATTAGACTAAGTACAGTTTCTGCATAAAAATTCCATCTTGGCGTTTAATAGTTCAGTTGGTCGCTACGAAAACAGCTCAGTTTTTGATGTTATGAACGCTAACACTGATCAGGCTTAGTTCTTCCTCAATCATAAAGATTCTATTTTTTGTTAAACTTACCTAACTGAGTGTATTTCGTAGGATTCTTCGTGAAGACTGAGCCGTGATGTGCAGTTGAAATTAAACCTTCTTTGTTGAAGAGTTTTGGGTGAGTCGAAGTGTCTATAGTCGGCTGGTTCGTGCCCAAGGGAATCTGGAATTGCGGAAAAGGAACTCGGGATGTAGTCAGTGTTGTCCGGAATCTTCAAAGTCACTCAAGGCTTCGATTTGACTCAGTCAAATTTGACTCAAGCTAGTACATTGTTTATATGCAAACTTCAAGCCCAGACTGAGATCTATTTAATATACTGACCAGAATACGAGGTTACAAAACATCTTTCACTCCATATCCTAGAGCTCTTAGAAACAAAATTAAGGGCTCGAGAATTAAACTAATTCCTACAAAAATTTGATATTAAAACTTGAGTACTTTTGAATTGTTTACGTGGCTTCTCTGATTTTTGAGTCTAATGGAATTATAATTCCAAGCAATGTAAACGACTCCCAAGGGATGTTCATTATTCAAGACACATGATTCGAAAATATCTACTATTTTGGAAAACAAAAAGCATTTTGAATAAAGAATTGGCTGGAGAGTTGGTGTATGGCTTAGAATTAGCAAAAGTTATCGGATTTCTTTTGTTTATTTATTTATTTATTTTTTTTTTCCGGCTGTGCTTTATGATTAGTTTTATATTAGTTTGTTGTCATAACAATGTTGAGGCTATTTCAAAATGAGCTGATCCTCGCATTTTATCAAGTAACTTATGAAGCTGCAAATTACTGAAATTTAAAGACTCAGAAAAAATTCCCAGTTTCATAGCATATTCAATGTCGATTTTCAAAAGATCTCACGAAGTTTGGGCTAGTCTTTGTCTTAGTTATTTATGAATTAAACTTGGGTAAGGAAAAAAAGCTTGAATGTGACTCATTTGTTTCACAGCTTGGTGGTGGTAAACAACATTAACTACATTTGAATAGGGATTTAGAACATTGTAATCTGTAGCTCAAATCACAATATAGCAAACACTATCAAGCTCTAGTTATACGCGTGTCGCGAGATCTGGATGACTTTGACTACTACTTCGTTTCTGATCCCTTTACAAACCACCAACACCAACAACAAATTAGAATACAGAAAATATGGACAACAAGAGATTTGAAAGTACGTGAAATTTGTCAAACAAAAATCGGTTTTCTGAAGATGCGTCATACCAGATTTCAACAATGACGTTGATAGTAAACAAGCTGTTGCTATGGTGACTCCTGATAGTTTAGAAATCACGCGAATTTTGATGCGCAATCTCATCTCCCGTGTTTGAGCCCAGCGTTTAATACTTAGTAAGGGAATTACTTGAAAGGTCAATCGGCATGGTGCTTTCTTTGTGCAGGGCAAATAGAAAAAATAGCGTAAAAATCACAACGAAAAATCTACGAGCTTGCAATTGAAATTATAGTGCATTTTTATTTGCTATCCCAGAAAAGATCAATGCCACGCCGCAACAGCGATATAAATCGCTAAATTTGAACAGCAAATCCCACAATTACTTGGCTACATATCCTCAATTTTTCACCAACACATAATGAGCCCTAAATAATATAATCGTATCTGAAACTTCAATGCAAAATCTCTAAAGGGCAGGCTTCAAGCTGTGACCAAGATTGATCATCAAGTCGAGCGCGTTCCTTTCACAGGAAATCGTAAATTAATAATTTGAGAATTTGTAATGAGAATTACAAAGAATTCTACTAGTTATCATTTTAAAGAAATCTCTATTCATACGTGAATTTGGACTTTCTGGAGCGCACACTTGAGCTAAAAACATGAATCTTTATAAACTGATGAGTCAATCGAAACCCGGTCCCGGGATAGGGCGGGGAATCGATTTAACCGTTCATACAGGGTTCAATTTGAGATTCTCCTGATCCCCATATGACAAAAGTATGGACCTTAGTTTTAAATCTTTTTCTTTTTTCTTTTTTTTCTTTTTTACTAATTTCTTTTTTTCTTAGTTTAATATTACTGCAATTCCAATTAAGACTGTRAGATTAATTTTAAGAGTCCCAAGCTGGCGCCACGTGCGGTGACGATTTTTCTGTCGTCCGCAAGAAACCCGGCTTTTCTGACTGCATCTTTGCAATAGATAATCTTTACTCATAGGAAAGCTGTCAGCTTAATTAAAATGAGTGGACGGAAGTCGGGAATTCAGATAAGAAAAATCCGGTATTCTTGCAAATTCTTTGGGAGCATATTATGTTTCGGTAATAGAAAATACTGAGATATATTTTGTGAGAACCTAGAGAAGTGGGGTACGGGATGTGTGCTGGCTGGGCTTGGCAACTAACACTGCTATCATTTCTCGTCAAAAACAAGCCACCAATGATTTCTAAAAAAGGTTTTTAAATCTAGTTCGAGAGTTGTTTTAGCTGCGATGGATTTCCCGGGCTTAATTAAGTGGTTATAAATTTAATAGCTTAGCCGAGAAGAATAGGAATCAATTTAATGGGTCTTCTCAAGAATAGATTCTACTCTTTCTCTGAGGTTTATTTTGTACGTAGCTAGAAACAATGAAGAAAAAGCCGAGAAGGATAGGAATTAATTTAATCGGTCTTCTCAAGAATAGATCCTACTCTTTCTCTGAGGTTTATTTTGCACGTAGCTAGAAACGATGAAGAAAAAAATATTTATATAAAGACAAAATTATTAACTACAAATAATAAAATTCAGTTAAAATTACGTCGTTCATTGATGTAATGGGTAAAATTTTTTAAACCTATTAAAAATTTTCGATTAATTATAATAAAAGAGAAATAATCTTACTTTTTTTTCCTGAAGTTTCGCCTTGTAAATCGAAAACTGAATATTACGAGACTCTTACCCTTGATCAGCTGTCTTGATAGGGAAAAAAATCTGAGCCACTACCAGCTTCTATTTATAGCGTGCCGTTCAACGACGTCTTTGTAGAAACGACAGTCCAAGTAAACTACGTGCAAAGAGTGTTTCTTTTCATTCGACGTATTACTTATTCACTCTTTATTACGTTGAGAATAAATCAGTTTTATCGTCTCATGCAATAATCATGAAAAGCTACTTTATCATAGAATCTTTGAACACTCGACGAATAATTATGTACCTCTATGTCTCACAGCGATTAGAACTAAGGCGTTTCTCATATTTGCGTATATGAAAATATCCTGAACGATGGGGATTAATTTAGTCTGTTATACTGTGACACTGAAATGGGTTCCAATTATATTATCTTTATTGCCTTGCTTCAGCCATGAAACACGGTTGGTATGTCACATGTACAGGCCTTGATATTTAAACRCTAAATTGGCTTCTCAATATTTTTCATCGATTTCATCCAATTAGCAATATTGGTGAATGTTATGACACGGATTCAACACTGAAATGATTTGCCCTCATTTCTTATCCAGTTCATCTGGTCCGCCATGATACTTCGACACTCAAATGGCTTCCCACTAATTTTACATCCATTTCATAAATCATGTTATGCATGCAATCGCAGTCAACACTAAAATGGCTTATTACCACAAGCTTTTTATCCATTTTCATCCAATATTCATAGTCACGCCATGAAACTTCAACATTGAAATGGCTTCCTATTAATTTTTAAGTTCAAACCATCCAATCATTTGTAACGTATGGTATTAATGGTAATCGAAGATTCTTGGAAAGGCGGAACCTGTAAGCTTGTTTTTTTGTTGTTGTTGTTGTTKTTTTTGTTTTTGTTATTCTTTTATTTCATTTTAGACTGAAGAGAAGGAAAAATTCATAACGTGTTTRTAAGTTATAATTGTCTTGCCCTAGCCTGCAAAGGAGGAAAATTGATCTTTATCTCGAAGAGGCACTTGGACAGAAACAAGTGGGGGTCAGTGTTGGGCACTTATTTGTGCGCGAGGACTGGGAAATGCTGGCCCCTTTGGGTAGTCRTGCAGTAGTCGCAGTACCAAATAAACAAAAATTCTTGTTAAACTGTTCCCAGGCACCATTTCAATTCAGAAAAATGCACCAGATCTTTCCGATAGAGAATGCTTTTCAATTAACAGTAGTAGTAATGTAATAATAATAATAATAATAATAATACTTTATGCTAATTATGAGCAAAAAAAATAGTATTCACTCTTACTAAAAAGATATCGCTAAAATGATAATAATATGCATTTTTTTAAATCGTATCTGGATACGATGGGGCTTGAATCCACCGACAAAAAAAAATTTTAATCGATTCAACTTTGCCATACCCCCGAGACATCCGCAGAGCTGAGGCGKCGTATGGACTTCGGACCTGACGGCGATTAAATCCTTCTGCCCTTGGGTGYACGAATTAMGCAAGAAAATGTTCTAGCCGAAGCATCAGGGGAGAGACCAGCCGGCCCCCAGACCATATCGGCTAATCCCTTGCATCTCTGCCACGCACGGAATCGGTTGAAAAAATAATGTTAAAAAGTCTAGTCTATCCGGTGCATCGTTTTCACGGCTATTGTTATGCTGATTTACCTGGAACCGTGGCCCAGTGGAAAAATACTTTGGCTTCATTAACACTGGGTCAAGTCCGGTTGGGTGAAGTTAGTACCAGGATGGGTGACCGTTTTTCGCATTTTTCTACATTTTTGGAAAATTTGAATATCGTTTTCCCTGTAACTTTTTTGTGTCCTTTGTTTTCGTAGAAACGAGTTTAGAGCACATTTGGAGCCCACGTTCCTCTTGGTTAGCACCGAGAAACGAGACCTACAGGGTCTAACAAACTACAGGAGCTTCAACAAAGCTGCATGACGTCCTAGAGGTTTTATCCAAAGTTACTCCAAGATCGACAAAAAGAGAATCACGTCATAACTTTGATACTACACTGATGATACACTGATTGTACAGGACATCTGATGACACTAAGTACATACAGTGTATACAGTACGATACAGTTCAAGAACGGTATAGTTAAGACCTACCGACGAGTGCGGTTCTGTCCAAGAGGAACGTGGACTCAGGAATGAGATTGATTAATTCCTCTTTATTTTTGCGTTGGACTCCCTGTGGTAGAAGCTATCGACTGTCCTTAATTATCTAGCCAGGGCTGGTATTAGCATTTTCGGTTCATATTTTCGGTTTCTTAGGACTGATTATATTCCATTGTTGAATTTTCTTTAGTCATCGAAGACTGATATGTAATTCTAAAATCAAGCATGTTGATCGTGTTCTGTCATCCATGTCACACTGGTACCAGAAAACAGACACAAAGGAACGCCACGAAAGGTCATTTTTTTACCTCGACAAAGAATCGAAACCTTTGAGTAATTATTCCATTCGAATAAGCAAAGCTAAGCCGATCAAAAAAGACGAGTATCAACCTRTAAACTGACAAAACACACGAGGAAAAACAAATTTTGGAATTACATGAAGGTGTATCTTTTGCTTTTATTTGCGAAGGAGTGGACTAAAGATTTACGGATCAAGCGAGGTTTCTATTCAGTTCAGTAAGAAGGAAGTATTCATATTCAAAGAGAAACTGTTTTGACATGCAAGGCTTTTCGGACATGAATCAGGAATACGATTATTTATTCAAGCTTCTTCTGATAGGCGATTCTGGTGTAGGAAAATCAAGCCTTCTTCTTCGCTTCGCTGACGACTCGTTCAATGAATGTTACATCAGTACGATAGGAGTAGACTTCAAAATACGAACTGTACGAGTCGGTGGAAAAACTGTCAAACTACAGATATGGGATACAGCTGGCCAAGAACGTTTTAAAACCCTAACAACGGCGTATTATCGAAGCGCCCATGGAGTCATTTTAGTGTATGATGTCAACGATAAAGACTCTTTTCTACATCTCGATGGCTGGATGGGTGAAGTAGGGAAAAACTCATGCGAGGCGGTCAATATAATGTTAGTTGGAAACAAGTGCGACGTTGTCGGAAGGAGACAGGTTGATTACAAAACAGCCAAGTCATTCGCTGAGGATGTAAATATGTCTTTTATAGAGACTAGTGCAAAGGATAGTACGAATGTTGATAAGGTTTTCCTGACGATGGCTGGGGAGTTAAAAGAAAAGCTGGGTACGCCGATTACTTCTCCAGCCGGCGACGACTCGAAAGCTGACGCGCTGTTATTATCTGTTAAACCGGTTAAAGGTGGAAACTCGGAAAAAAATTGTTGCTAACCCCTAGAAACTCGGATATAACTAAAACACATATAACCTTTAAATATCGAAGCATGTGAACAGCAGAAAATTTATTTTCCAAATTGAATTTCACTGGAAAAACAATGAATACTGCAGTAGACATTCTGCTTCCGTGTTTTAATTATCAAAATTAAGCGATTTTAAATATGGCTCGCCATTTTCAATCTATACCAAGGATTTAGTGTTATTTAAAAAGTCATGTTCTATTGTATAAGAACTTTGGTTTAATAGCATTGGAAACGTGTTCGAGTAGTTAAAATTATTAAAAAAATAATCGTGCTCTTTAATTTTACATGGGCTATTAATCCCACTTGTGGCCCTAATCTCGCGATCAAAATAAAGTTTTGATTTTTGATTCAATGTTCATTTTTAAGGTGGGAGGAAAATCGTAGCATTGAAAATCATCGAAGCTGAGGAAAAAACCAACAAGCAAATCTGCTTATACATATATATATATGCACTTGATTGCAGAAAGGTTGTAGTATACATTTATACAGATACCTAATGAGATGCAGAACGTAAAACATGCTTAAATACGATTGCTTACATTTAGCCAATACATTTTGTGGAAAATACTTTTCTAACTTGACTTTGTGCAATACTTGTCTCTGATACAATAGAAGATAAATAAGACCAAATAAGTTACTTTTTAAGTTTTGCATCTCATTTGATATCTTGCATCTCATTAGATATATGTATAAATGTATACTACAACCTTTTTGCAATCAAGTGTATAAACATATAATACCTTTATTTCTTAAAAGCGCATTTCTAAAACTCAATGCTTTTTACAATAAAAAGTGAAAATTATAAAAGCAGAAAAAGAAAATAAAACTAATGAAATATATGTAATCCAATATAAATACAAAACTACAAAAGTAAATTGAAACTAGCGCACATGAATTTAGATAAGAAGCAAAATGCCATCTAGAATAAAACTATATTATTGATAAACAAGTTCAAATCAAATATGTCTTGAGCTTTGTTTTGAATATGTTGATGTTATATATATATAGGAGAAGAGAGGAATCAGAGGAAATGCCAGATATCATCACCTTCGTTTTTTGGTCGTTAGTTATGAGGCTGATGCGGAGGCATTCAGCCTCGACCCTTGATAGTAGTCTCCAGATCCTGTGACACAATGTTACACAGGGAACCCGGCTAGAGTATTTTTTTGCTTCTTTTAGAAAAGTAACTTTGCTCTTTGTGGGTTTCCTGAGTTGTGATCGGTTTCTTATTACATTAAGCTGTAATCCGATCTGCGCTGTGATCAGATCGGCGCTGTAAACTGATAGCCGATTAAATTCAAAACAATAACCGTTGGTAACGCACTCTCTAGTAAATACTAGAAAGTGCGTTACACACCACAGGCAACCCATAAGAAACAAAACACCAACGGTTATTGTTTTGAATTTAATCGGCTATCAGTTTACAGCGCCGATCTGAGGGGAGAAAGCGTTGCGTGACGACACTGAAAGCGGCTGTGGGGGAGACTAGGTTCCCTGTGAATGTTATAGAAACTAAAGAGTCACGTACGAGTCACGTGCTATTGTCCCGGGTGTCGTATTCACTGTTTTCCTGCCAGGGCTTGTATGTTGCAGTACTTTCAGTCTTTTAAATAAGTAAAATGGCATTCTTTTCACTCAAATTTCGTGTTAATAGCACAATAAGGTGTATGTGTTCAGTCGTACCCGTTCGTGTTCGATCGATTTCCAACAATCCTGTCCAAACACAACAACGATTACAGTCGACCAACGCACCAGCATCAAATCGATTTGCTTTAACCATTGCACAGAAAGCACAGGTAAGGCCAGGAATAGAGGGAATTTGGATCATAATTTTCGATATGTGTGTGTTTAAATTGGGGGGAACACGGGAAGGCTAAAATGATCGTCTGCATGACTTTCGTAGTAGTCTAGGGCCAGCCATGTGGAACATATTTGACTTGTTTTATGAAAAAATAACATCACAACTCTCGATGTACGCGGACGACCATCAACTTTATACCTCACGCCTTAAAGTGGAAGAAGTAATTAATACATTGGAACAAGACGGAACGACCACAGCAAAGTGGTATAGAGGGAACTATCTTGAAGGTAATTTAAGTAAATATAAAGTGATTGTGATGACGAGAAAGAAACAAGAACAGGACATAAGAGATACATTTATAGATAACATAAGCACAGTTCAAGAAGACAAATTAAAGTTGTTAGGAGTCATCTTGGACAAGGATTTAATTTTCACTGACCATATATCAGCTATTTGCACCACAACAAGCAAGAAGGTAGGAATCCTAACGAGACYACGCAAGTTAATACCCATCCATGCAAAACTACAGATTTAGAAGTCTGCAATCTTACCACACTTCAACTACTGCAGCTTGGTCAGGCACTTTTGCAAAGCCAGTGACAGAAGCAAATTAGAACGCATCAATCATAGAGGATTAAGGGCTGTTTACTGCGACTACGAATCATCCTTTGAAGAACTACTGAAGAGAGCAAAGCTCACCACGCTGTACAATAAAAGGCTACAGAACATTGCAGTATTCATGTACAAGATCAAAAACAGACTGCTACCTCAAACTATGATTGATCTATTTGATTCTCCCTCTCATAAGTATAACCTAAGGAACACAGATTTTTCTATTACTAGTTATATTACAGTTAAGTATGGGTGGAATAGTCTTAGGTATTTTGGACCATACTTGTGGTCTAAGCTCAATACATCACTAAGGTCATCATCATCTCTTCAGGCTTTCAAAAAAGGTATTAGGAAGCTGGATCTGACCTAGTCTCCCTCGCATCCGTTTTTAGTGTTGCGTGACGACCGACACTAAAAACGGATGCGAGGGAGACTAGATCTGACCGAGCTGTCAAATAAATTTTAGTATATTATATTTATATTTGTATAGTCATATTTCATGCCGATAATAACGTTACATTATATTCAGATAGTCATAAATTATAATTATATTTATCAAACTCATGAATAATTCACGTTGTATTTCTTTATTTCTTTATTTATTTTTTGTCTCCCCGATTAGTAGGGCACTTGTGCCCGGCTAGAAGAAATAGAGACATTAATAAAGTTATTATTATTATCATTATTATTAT